ATGCGAACAAACCTGCTCATCTCGGACTACTTGACTATGCATCAGAATCCAAAAATTTGTCTAGGCCCTTGTCTCTTGGACATTTTGTGGTTTAGCGGTATTGGTCCTTTGTTACTTAAAGGCACTTCCCGCGACCACACTTCATAGGTAATACAGTTCAAAAATAGATTGCCCTGTGGTTGTTGACTTATTGAAGAGAAGGAACCACGAAAAAGCGCCCGCAATAAGACCCTCTTTATTCAATTGATCATGATCACCGGACGAGCGTAAGGTGGTCAAGATCAATTGTGGATTGCAAAAGGCGGCGAGACACTGATAAGAGACGAGAGAGGCCAGAAAATGACGGGCGAGAGAGCGCAATGGCAGTCTCACAACGACACGGTCACTGGAGGCCGGCATGGGCCTATCGGGCGCCAATGGGCCTAAAACCTGAGCGCGCTGCGTTTTGCTTGCTGTTTTTCAACTTTTAAAAGCAGCAAGCCTCTGACGTTGCCTCTGAGGTACGTCGCTGCGATGTTTATGAGAACCTCAGCTCAGTGTACCGCGAACGTGCTTAAAGCTAAGGTTGGCGACACTGTCGGACGAGGGCTCAACTGGATTGGGTAGAACCGCTTTTGAAAACGCACTAAATTGTTGTATTTGAAAGTGGTCTAAGTCATACTTCCTTCATTAAAAGTATTGCCTTTTAACCAGTGTTTCATGTTTCCAAACCATTGTAGAACAGTAATTTGATTACCTCCATTTGTGCATTGAAATTTCAGTAAAGAAAAAAAAAACTCTACGGGATGAACGAACACCTGGACAACTCTCTACTCCATGGTCAAACTTTTTCGAGGAAGCTCTAAACCAATGGCGTGTGATGTTCATCGTGTCCTTCTCGAAGCAGAGAGGAAACAGTTCGGACCAACCTAGCGACGTTATGGGGGACGTTACTGGGATACTTTGCTGGCACCTGCTCGGGCTGCTCGATGATCAAGGAGAGTAGAAGTGATAGGTGGAATCGAGTGAGTTTAGGAAGAAACTCACCCAACGTTACTCAGTCAAAGGGCTTCCTCATAGCTCTTTCAGTTTCCCCTGAATCTTCAATTTGCATTCAAAAGTGCTTTGCTAATTGTTTGAGCTTCGGTGATGATTGAATTGATGAGGATTTTATAGCTATTGCACTTTACTCTATCTTCGCGTTTTTTTCCACAAAATGTGGATGGGGTGGAGTCCTTATACTCGAATAGCATAGGCGGCATACATTTCCGAGAACCACGTCATTTTATAAAACTTGCACATCCATATTCCAGAAAGTTCAAGGGGCCGGGAGAGCATATTAAAAAGTCACGAGGTGTGGCTTGTTACGCCCACCTCATGGTGCAAAATCAGACCAAGTGCTTTCGCGTGGAACCATCATCAGTAGTGGGTTCACTTTATGGGTTCCCTGCTCTCTAACTGAAAATGGCCGTCACGACATTTACGTATTTAACCACTTTCTTAAACACCTAATTACCAGTTGTCCACAAAGGCTCCCTTCTGTAATGTTTCATTTTTCTCTAAATATTGAACTATTTGAAAACAAAACAGTCCCATCGTGCCTAATTTGTCCATATATCTGCAGTCCATACTCTTCCTTATAAGCTTATGCTACCCAAAACGTTCGGTATATTTTCTTTTTTTGGAATTTCGTCGGACCTCTTCAGCCTTCGAGCAGCGCTTTTGTATTATCGGCA